CCCACACACACACACAACACCAGCCCCACCTCCCGCCAGTGGTCAGCCTTGCTCCGCAGCTTCTCCAGCGCCGCCGCCTCCTCCCGCAGCTTAGACTGCGCCTCAACCAGCTCGCGCGCCGCCGCCTCCTGCGATACGGATCAGAGAAAATGTTGATGAGGCACGAGCTTGCAGGCACACGGATGCGAGCCTGGCACAGTAGGTGGCCGACCGGCTGCCGCCCACCCCAATAAGCTAGAAACATGCAGAATGCTGCGCGCGTGCCACTGCCGTGTCCAATCATACTTCTGGACCAAAGAGCGCGTACCCATGCCAGTCCCTCCTGAAGGCGCGGCCACACACACATGCATACGCACACGCGCACTCGCTCACACACGCATCTCGCATACGCCCTCTCGAACCCATGCGAATGGCTGCACATGCCCGCGCGCCCCCTACCTGCGTCTCCCGCAGCTTCTCGGCAACTGCCTCCAGCTTGTGCAGCGCAATGTTGGCGTCCTGGCGCTCGCACTGCGCCTGCAGCTTGGCCTTCTGAGCAGCCGCTACCTCGTGCTGTTGCGGGGGGCAGCGGGTTCGACGACACGCGTTGGTGTGCGTTGGTGTGTGTGCGTGTTGTGCCAATCACGCGAGCACACAGGCCGCACCACTCATGAGCGGCGGCGCTGCGGAGTGCTTGAGCCCCCTTTTGCACTCAACCCCCCCCCCCCCCGGGGCCCACCCTTCTGCTGACCAACACCCGGGAGCACATCGCCGTGCGGCGGCCCGTGCGCCCCGCGCCCCGCAAACCCGGTGCTCTCATATTCGATCCTCTCAGCGGTCTGCTGCTGCTCGACCCGGTCTCCACCAACGTAATTCCAACCACCTCAGAGAGGGCCCTTGGCAGCGCCCACCTCGAGCTGATCGATGTGCTCGGCCATCTTGTCCGCCTGCTCCCCCATCTTCCGGATCTCCGCCGCCGCCGCCTCGATCTCCTTGTCCTTGCCGAGCACGTGCTGCTGCTGCGCCACCAGCTGGGACGCGAGCTCGGAGTGCTCCTGCTCGGCCGCGGCGATGCGGGCGCGCAGGCGCGCGAGCTCGGCGGCGGCCTCGTCGGCGGCGGCGCGCGCGGCGGAGAGCTGGTCCCTGAGCTTGGCGGCCTCCACCTGGGTGGGTAATGGGGTGGGGGCAGAGA